GTGTTTTCTGCTCGGCTGGCTGCGAGATTGGCTCCGAGTGTCCCGTGTTGTCGTCTCTCGCAGGTGTTTTCTGCTCGGCTGGCTGCGAGCTTGGCTCCGAATGTCCCGTGTTGTCGTCTCTCGCAGGTGCTTTCTGCTCGGCTTGCTGCGAGCTTGGCTCCGAGTGTCCCATGTCGGCGTCTCTCGCAGGTGTTTTCTGCTCGGCTGGCTGCGAGATTGGCTCCGAGTGTCCCGTGTTGTCGTCTCTCGCAGGTGTTTTCTGCTCGGCTGGCTGCGAGCTTGGCTCCGAGTGTCCCGTGTTGTCGTCTCTCGCAGGTGCTTTCTGCTCAGCGTGCTGCGAGCTTGGACCACCAGGAAAGGCACGTCATAACAATGACATTATGTGCAGGAAATGATGAATCCTGTGACAGCTTCGAACCATTTACAACTGGAGGTTTTCCTGTCCCGGAACTCAGATATACAGATTTCACTTGACCAGTATTTCTTTTTATTTTTATTTTTCAACGATCACTTTTCATTGTGGGCCATACACTGGGCCGTCATCCATTGATCTATTAGGTTTCCACAAAGCTTAGTTGTCAGGTCTACGGGGTATGGCCACATGCTGCTCCGCGGCTCCGCCTGGAAAGGACAATTCTGCAAAACGGGTTTTGGAGCCTGTTCAGCAGGAAAACAATGCAGAGAGCTGTCTGGCTCATACCTAATTTGTATGAGAATCCGTTGAGTGTGCAGTGTGCAGTGTGTAAGAAAACAACTGTGACTTGGTCTGTTCTTTTCCTGTGTTTGAGGACATCTTTTCCATGGTTATAACCTATGCTTGTTTTCCAATCTGTTTCCGATTTTCTTTTAACGAGAGTTTTGACTTCTGGAAACAATCGTCCCCAGTAGATTTGACCGGTTCTTCAAAATCCTTGACCAATTCTTTCTATGGTGTGTACATACAAATAAACCAGACCTGTTAAACGGATGTGCACACAAAGTAAAATACAACGCCACATTTTGAAACACTGGTGATTCAGTTTCAGATAAAAGTACCATAACTTGTTAGTGTAGTTGTTATCCCATCCGCCTAACATACAGAAAGTCCTTGGGTCAAACCCTAGCTGATTTTTTTTTTTTAATTTGAAATTTACAACAAAAAAAGTTTTTTTTTACAGGTAATTATGACTGAAGATGGAGTAGCGACAGCCGATTGTTCTTTACCACTGTCAGTGCTACCATGGAACTGTGGGTGCTACCATGGAACTGTGGGTGCTACCATGGAACTGTCAGTGCTACCATGGAACTGTGGGTGCTACCATGGAACTGTCAGTGCTACCATGGAACTGTGGGTGCTACCATGGAACTGTGGGTGCTACCATGGAACTGTGGGTGCTACCATGGAACTGTGGGTGCTACCATGGAACTGTCAGTGCTACCATGGAACTGTCAGTGCTACCATGGAACTGTGGGTGCTACCATGGAACTGTCAGTGCTACCATGGAACTGTGGGTGCTACCATGGAACTGTCAGTGCTACCATGGAACTGTGAGTGCTACCATGGAACTGTGGGTGCTATCATGGAACTGTGGGTGCTATCATGGAACTGTGGGTGCTACTATGGAACTGTGGGTGCTACCATGGAACTGTGGGTGCTACCAAGGAACTTTGGGTGCTACAATGGAACTGTGGGTGCTACCATGGAACTATGGGTGCTACCATGGAACAGTCAGTGCTACCATGGAACTGTGGGTGCTACCATGGAACTGTGGGTGCTACCATGGAACTGTAGGTGCTACCATGGAACTGTGGGTGCTACCAAGGAACTGTGGGTGCTACCATAGAACTGTGGGTGCTACCATGGAACTGTGGGTGCTACCAAGGAACTTTGGGTGCTACAATGGAACTGTGGGTGCTACCATGGAACTGTGGGTGCTACTATGGAACTGTGGGTGCTACCATGGAACTGTGGGTGCTACCATGGAACTGTAGGTGCTACCATGGAACTGTGGGTGCTACCAAGGAACTGTGGGTGCTACCATGGAACCGTGAGTGCTACCGTGGAACTGTGGGTGCTACCATGGAACTGTGGGTGCTACCATGGAACTGTGGACGCTACCATGGAACTGTGGGTTCTACCATGGAAATGTGGGTGCTACTATACCACTGTGAGTGCTACCATGCTACTGTGGGTGCTGCCATGCCACTGTGGGTGCTACCATGTCATTGTGAGTGCTACCATACCACTGTGGGTGCTACCATACCACTGCGAGTGCTACCATACCACTGTGAGTGCTACCATACCACTTTGGGTGCCACCATACCACTGTGAGTGCTACCATACCACTGTGAGTGCTGCCATGCCACTGTGAGTGCTGCCATGCCACTGTGGGTGCTACCATGCCACTGTGGGTACTACCATGCCACTGTGGGTGCTACCATACCACTGTGAGTGCTACTATACCACTGTGAGTGCTACCATGCCACTGTGGGTGCTACCATGCCACTGTGGGTACTACCATGCCCCTGTGGGTGCTACCATACCACTGTGAGTGCTGTCATGCCACTGTGGGTGCTACCATGCCACTGTGGGTGCTACCATGCCACTGTGGGTGCTACTATGCCACTTTGGGTGCTACCATGCTACTGTGGGTGCTACCATACCACTGTGAGTGTTACCATACACCTGTGAGTGCTACCATGCTACTTTGGGTGCTGTAGGAGATGATGTAACGGCAGCTTGGTCGGCCATATTTGTGGGGCGATGGAACAGGCCCAGGAGCTACAGGACTGTCGGGCCATACAGGCGATGACGACACATACGGCAGCCGTGGAGACAAGTAGAGGACGAGGTTCTCAGTTGCTTAGAGCCCCCTTTTAATATATATGCTGAAAATATGATGTGAAATACATTTAGCGATAAGGCCCGTGACAGCTTCCAACTACATAACAGTGGAGGCAACACTACCCCAGAACTCAGGTATACAGATTTGGTGAATCCATTCTTTTCTTCAGACTCTGGGCGCTACAATCCTGGGGCGGTAGAGCAGCTGTAATATTATCGGTCAAATATGGGGAGTGGGTGAGGGGGGGGGGGGGTAGTAATACTTCCCAGACCAATCGTCTCAAAATGGATGTCATCACACCCCCCCCCCCCCGTGCCACCCGTTTGGGGCGCTAGGCAGCTGAGGGTCGGTAGCTTCGTCAGTCAGATTTGATGATAAATAAGAAAGAGGAAGCACGGAGTCAGACAAGCGTTCAGTGAACATATTTTGGAAGATGACGACATGTCATCAAAGATAACCGGAGGTGAAGGAGAAACAAGAATTGACGCAAAATATTCTCTGAACTGTCCAACATGGCGACGTCATCCGGCCCACCGTGGCGGGGATCAGGCTCGACAGATGTGTGGGGAAATAGACAGAGGAAAACAGCGCCAGAAGATTCGGCTTTTTGTTATGACAGGGAGCGGTGTCAACAGACACGTGATCGTCATGTCAGACGACAAGGCGCTTGATGATGGTACTGATATATTGTCTATTCATTTATTTTAGACGTTAACACAATTTGTGTTACAATTTGAAATAGAGTTCTGTTCACTGATTGAAGGTGTGATTACAATAGGAGTTGAACAACCAGTATTCAGATACTTACGTTTGTCATTAAAACAGTGGATTGATAAAGCCTTTCGTACATGTTTGCTGCTACCTTCAGCTTTGGGCTTCAGTTTTTATGTCTGTATTATGCTGAGTTACGCATGAATACTTATACATCTGACCTGTCTCGTCCCCAAATGAGTTGCATTCTGTGTCCGGTGCGCCGTCTCATGACATGATACCTATCAGCTCTAGTGTCTACACCAGACCCTCTGATGCAACCGCTTCTGGTTACATATTGTGTCTTGTTCGTAAGTTGTCACGCATTTCATAGATACTTTTATATTCTGTTTTGTATGTTTGCAGACGTGTGCTAATCATCCATTTCCTGTACAGATTACATATCTCGTTAGCAGCTCTATCTATGTTACCTATTTGCTCATCTATCAGGGTATGTTGGGCAGAGTTGTTTGCTGTCTTTTTCCTGCATCATTTGTTTGCCGCATGATCACTCAGGCATGCCTCTGCGTGCGTTCCCTGGGATCTTCTGCTGATCATATCCTCTTGTTGTCTGTATTCCTGTAATGTTTCCCGTTTGCTTGTCTTGTTGTCTGTATTCCTGTAATGTTTCCCGTCTGTGCTTGTCTTCTTGTCTGTATTCCTGTAATGTTTCCCGTCTGTGCTTGTCTTGTTGTCTGTATTCCTGTAATGTTTCCCGTCTGTGCTTGTCTTGTTGTCTGTATTCCTGTAATGTTTCCCGTCTGTGCTTGTCTTGTTGTCTGTATTCCTGTAATGTTTCCCGTCTGTGCTTGTCTTGTTGTCTGTATTCCTGTAATGTTTCCCGTCTGTGCTTGTCTTGTTGTCTGTATTCCTGTAATGTTTCCCGTCTGTGCTTGTCTTGTTGTCTGTATTCCTGTAATGTTTCCCGTCTGTGCTTGTCTTGTTGTCTGTATTCCTGTAATGTTTCCCGTCTGTGCTTGTCTTGTTGTCTGTATTCCTGTAATGTTTTCCCGTCTGTGCTTGTCTTGTTGTCTGTATTCCTGTAATGTTTCCCGTCTGTGCTTGTCTTGTTGTCTGTTATTCCTGTAATGTTTCCCGTCTGTGCTTGTCTTGTTGTCTGTATTCCTGTAATGTTTCCCGTCTGTGCTTGTCTTGTTGTCTGTATTCCTGTAATGTTTCCCGTCTGTGCTTGTCTTGTTGTCTGTATTCCTGTAATGTTTCCCGTCTGTGCTTGTCTTGTTGTCTGTATTCCTGTAATGTTTCCCGTCTGTGCTTGTCTTGTTGTCTGTATTCCTGTAATGTTTCCCGTCTGTGCTTGTCTTGTTGTCTGTATTCCTGTAATGTTTCCCGTCTGTGCTTGTCTTGTTGTCTGTATTCCTGTAATGTTTCCCGTCTGTGCTTGTCTGTGTTGTCTGTATTCCTGTAATGTTTCCCGTTTGTGCTTGTCTTGTGTGTCTGTATTCCTGTAATGTTTCCCGTTTGTGCTTGTCTTGTTGTCTGTATTCCTGTAATGTTTCCCGTTTGTGCTTGTCTTGTTGTCTGTATTCCTGTAATGTTTCCCGTCTGTGCTTGTCTTGTTGTCTGTATTCCTGTAATGTTTCCCGTCTGTGCTTGTCTTGTTGTCTGTATTCCTGTAATGTTTCCCGTCTGTGCTTGTCTTGTTGTCTGTATTCCTGTAATGTTTCCCGTTTGTGCTTGTCTTGTTGTCTGTATTCCTGTAATGTTTCCCGTTTGTGCTTGTCTTGTTGTCTGTATTCCTGTAATGTTTCCCGTTTGTGCTTGTCTTGTTGTCTGTATTCCTGTAATGTTTCCCGTTTGTGCTTGTCTTGTTGTCTGTATTCCTGTAATGTTTCCCGTTTGTGCTTGTCTTGTTGTCTGTATTCCTGTAATGTTTCCCGTCTGTGCTTGTCTTGTTGTCTGTATTCCTGTAATGTTTCCCGTCTGTGCTTGTCTGGTTGTCTGTATTCCTGTAATGTTTCCCGTCTGTGCTTGTCTTGTTGTCTGTATTCCTGTAATGTTTCCCGTCTGTGCTTGTCTTGTTGTCTGTATTCCTGTAATGTTTCCCGTCTGTGCTTGTCTTGTTGTCTGTATTCCTGTAATGTTTCCCGTCTGTGCTTGTCTTGTTGTCTGTATTCCTGTAATGTTTCCCGTCTGTGCTTGTCTTGTTGTCTGTATTCCTGTAATGTTTCCCGTCTGTGCTTGTCTTGTTGTCTGTATTCCTGTAATGTTTCCCGTCTGTGCTTGTCTTCTTGTCTGTATTCCTGTAATGTTTCCCGTCTGTGCTTGTCTTGTTGTCTGTATTCCTGTAATGTTTCCCGTTTGGTTGCATGTTGCTACCAACAGGACTCATTTTAAATCATCAAGGGCAATAATTACAAAGAAGGCATCAACTGCTGAAAGTTTTCACGATTATGTCCCATGATCGAGCTCTACGGCTCAGTGACAAGATGCGGCTGTGTGATGTGTGATGTACCCGACCCACTTGTGTGCTGTGTGATGTACCCGACTCACTTGTGTGCTGTGTGATGTACCCGACTCACTTGTGTGCTGTGTGATGTACCCGACTCACTTGTGTGTTGTGTGATGTACCCGACTCACTTGTGTGCTGTATGATATACCCGACTCACTTGTGTGCTGTATGATGTACCCGACTCACTTGTGTGCTGTGTGATGTACCCGACTCACTTGTGTGTTGTGTGATGTACCCGACTTAATTGTGTGTTGTGTGATGTACCCGACTTACTTGTGTGTTGTGTGATGTACCCGACTTACTTGTGTGTTGTGTGATGTACCCAACTCACTTGTGTGGTGTGTGATATATCCAACTCACTTGTCTGCTGTGTGATGTTCTCAACTCGCTTGTGTGGTGTGTGATGTACCCGACTCACTTGTGTGTTGTGTGATGTACTCAACTCACTTGTGTGCTGTGTGATATATCCAAGTCACTTGTGTGGTGTGTGATGTACTCAACTCACTTGTGTGCTGTGTGATATATCCAACTCACATGTGTGTTGTGTGATGTACCAGACTCACTTGTGTGGTGTGTGATGTATCCAACTCACTTGTGTGCTGTGTGATATATCCCACTCACTTGTGTGGTGTGTGATGTATCCAACTCACTTGTGTGCTGTGTGATGTACCCGACTCACTTGTGTGGTGTGTGATGTATCCAACTTACTTATGTGGTGTTTCTTGTATCATCGCCTCAGACTGTATCAGCACTTCTTTTTATAATCTCTAGTTGCTTCCTTTTTGTCCCCTCTGGACTTCTACCTAATGGTTTCACAACCTGAGAACACACACATCTCAGGACGAATGGCGAGACAAGGCAAGTCTTAGAATCCCCGTTCAGCCTTAAAAAAAGAATGAATTAGTGGCAGCCGAACTTGGACATTCTCTAGCTCTCAGCTACAATCCAGTGTAGGTAAGACGTGATGTCAGCTATAGCTATGTGATCCGTTGTGTCAGAGCTTGTGTGCCCAGTCTTGTGCCATCAACTCTTCCCTTTATTGGCCAGCCAGTGTTGTGTCGGAGCTTGTGTGCCCAGTCTTGTGCCATCAACTCTTCCCTTTATTGGCCAGCCAGTGTTGTGTCGGAGCTTGCGTGTCCAGTCTTGTGCCATCAACTCTTCCCTTTATTGGCCAGCCAGTGTTGTGTGGGAGCTTGTGTGTCCAGTCTTGTGCCATCAACTCTCCCCTTTATTGGCCAGCCAGTCTTGTGTGAGAGCTTGTGTGTCCTGTCATGTGCCATCAACTCTTCCCTTTATTGGCCATCCAGTGTTGTGTGGGAGCTTGTGTGTCCAGTCTTGTGCCATAAACTCTTCCCTTTATTGGCCAGCCAGTGTTGTGTGGGAGCTTGTGTGTCCTGTCTTGTGCCATCAACTCTTCCATTTATTGGTCAGCCAGTGTTGTGTGGGATCTTGTTTGTCCAGTCATGTGCCATCAACTCTTCCCTTTATTGGCCAGCCAGTGTTGTGTGGGAGCTTGTGTGTCATGTCTTGTGCCATCAACTCTTCCCTTTATTGGTCAGCCAGTGTTGTGTGGGAGCTTGTGTGTCATGTCATGTGCCATCAACTCTTCCCTTTATTGGCCAGCCAGTGTTGTGTGGGAGCTTGTGTGTCATGTCATGTGCCATCAACTCTTTCCTTTATTGGCCAGCCAGTGTTGTGTGGGAGCTTGTGTGTCATGTCTTGTGCCATCAACTCTTCCCTTTATTGGCCAGCCAGTATTGTGTGGGAGCTTGTGTGTCCTGTCTTGTGCCATCAACTCTTCCCTTTATTGGCCAGCCAGTGTTGTAGAGTCTAGGCCACAACAGACGACATCTTGGAGTCACGTGACTGTACGATTTCTGCAACTATGTGTAGATTATTATGTTCTTTCTGTCCCTGTTTGTGTGTACTCGCATGTGCGCATGTTGTGTTGAATGTGTTGTGTATATGTGTGTTTAACGTCTTTATATTTAATGTGTGTGTGTGTGTGTGTATGTTTGTTTATTGTGTGATTCATACGTATGTGTTTTATGAATATATTTCAATGTACACCAAACACATACTCAATGTGTACCAACTGTGTTCATCCACACTGCATTATCTTTCATGTTTGTACATCCCCACATTGTGTACACTCTCACACTGAGCAAGTATGTGTGTACACCCTCACACTGTGCTAGTATGTGTGTACACCCTCACACTGAGCAAGTATGTGTGTACGCCCTCACACTGAGCAAGTATGTGTGTACGCCCTCACACTGTGCGAGTATGTGTGTACGCCAAGATCGAGTGTGATATTCTCCGACCACATTGTCTCTCATGTGTGCACCTACTCTCGACATGCTGTGTGTGGGTGTGTGTGGGTGTGAGTGTGTGGGTGTGTGTGTTTGTGTGTGTGTGTGGGTGTCTGTGGGTTTGTGTGTTTGTGTGTGTGTGGGGGGGGGTGTGTCTGTGGGTGTGTGTCTGTGGGTGTGTGTGTGTGGGTGTGGGTGTGTGTGGGTGTGTGTGTTTCTGGGTGTGTGTGTGGGTGTGTGTGTGGGTGTGTGTGTGTGTTTGTGGGTGTGTGTGTTTGTTGGTGTGTGTGTGTGTGTGTGGGTGGGTGTGTGTGTGTGGGTGTGTGTGTTTGTGGGTGTGTGTGGGTGTGTGTGGGTGTCCGTGTGCACCCATGTGTACCCCTAGTTTGTCAAGTGTGTAAACTTTCACATCTTGGGTTTGTTCTAGCCAGATTGCTGTAATCAGTTTGTTCTAGCCAGATTGCTGTAATCAGTTTGTTCTAGCCAGATTGTTGTAATTAGTTTGTTCTATCCAGATTGCTGTAATCAGTTTGTTCTAGCCAGATTGTTGTAATCAGTTTGTTCTAGCCAGATTGTTGTAATCAGTTTGTTCTAGCCAGATTGCTGTAATCAGTTTGTTCTATCCAGATTGCTGTAATCAGTTTGTTCTAGCCAGATTGCTGTAATCAGTTTGTTCTAGCCAGATTGCTGTAATCAGTTTGTTCTAGCCAGATTGCTGTCATCAGTTTGTTCTAGCCAGATTACTGCAATGAGTAGTGTGTAGCCAGTTTGTTGTCTTTAGACGTTACTGTTGTACTTCAGGAAACAGCGCTGTAAACCACAGCCTTATAAGCGGAGACGACATTTGGTATGTTTATTTTACGTGGACATCAACAAGAGGCTGATTGCCAGGGTGTTTGTTCAAAAATAAGGGGGTGTTTGCAAAGACGAAATTGTCAGCGTGGCCACAGAAAGAGGGAGAGATTCCAAGAACAGACTTAACTACCCAAGTCATCATTGAAAGACCTGACGGTCGGCAACTTAATGTACAGGAAGTGACGTCACTTGCAACATCGATTTTATCATTGTGTAATTATCTCCCCTGTCTGAAACTCTACATCTTAGAGTGATTTCCCCCTGACTGAAGGCGGATTTAGTTTATATTCCTCTTTTCTTCTTTTAACTTCAGTCTTTTTTCTCGTAAGTCTATTCCCCCCCCCCCACCCCCACCCCAACACTACCACCCAATTACCTCCTGACATCTTTGCCCCCGCCTTTGTCACTGTTCCGCCTCTCTTCTCTCTCTCACTCTCTGTCAGTAATTGTAACAATGTCTCTCTAGTCTCTCTCTCTGTCAGTCTCTGTAACAATGTCTCTCTAGTCTCTCTCTCTCTCTGTCAGTCTCTGTAACAATGTCTCTCTAGTCTCTCTCTCTCTGTCAGTCTCTGTAACAATGTCTCTCTAGTCTCTCTCTCTCTGTCAGTCTCTGTAACAATGTCTCTCTAGTCTCTCTCTCTCTCTGTCAGTCTCTGTAACAATGTCTCTCTAGTCTCTCTCTCTGTCAGTCTCTGTAACAATGTCTCTCTAGTCTCTCTCTCTCTGTCAGTCTCTGTAACAATGTCTATCTAGTCTCTCTCTCTCTGTCAGTCTCTGTAACAATGTCTCTCTAGTCTCTCTCTCTGTCAGTCTCTGTAACAAAGTCTCTCTAGTCTCTCTCTGTCAGTCTCTGTAACAATGTCTCTCTAGTCTCTCTCTCAGTCTCTGTAACAATGTCTCTCTAGTCTCTCTCTCTCTGTCAGTCTCTGTAACAATGTCTCTCTGGTCTCTCTCTCTCTCTCTGTCAGTCTCTGTAACAATGTCTCTCTAGTCTCTCAGTCTGTCTCTGTAACAATGTTTCTCTAGTCTCTGTCAGTCTCTGTAACAATGTCTCTCTCGCCTTCTGTAAGTCTCTGTTACCAAATCTCTCTAGTATTTCTCTGTCAGTCACTGTAACAATGTCTCTCTAGTCTCTAGCTCTCTGTCCGTCACTGTAACAATGTCTCTCTAGTCACTCTTTGTCAGTCATTGTAACAATGTCTCTCTAGTCTCTCTTTGTCGGTCACTGTGACAATGTCTCTCTAGTCACTCTTTGTCAGTCACTGTGACAATGTCTCTCTAGTCACTCTTTGTCAGTCACTGTGACAATGTCTCTCTAGTCTCTCACTCTCTGTTCGTCACTGTAACAATTTCTCTCTAGCTGTTGCTCTGTATCAGTCACTGTAACAATGTCTCTCTAATCTCTTTCTGTCAGTCACTGTAATAATTTCTCTCTAGTCTCTTGCTCTCTGTCAGTCACTGTGACAATGTCTCTCTAGTCTCTCTCTCTCTCTCTCTCTCTCTCTCTGTCAGTCTCTGTAACAATGTTTCTCTAGTCACTCTCTGTCAGCAACTGTAACAATGTTTCTCTAATCTCTCTCTCTCAGTCACTGTAACAATGTCTCTCTAGTCTCTTGCTCTCTGTCAGTCACTGTAACAATTTCTCTCTAGTCTCTTGCTCCATGTTAGTCACTTTGACAATGTCTCTCTAGTCACTCTCTGTCAGTCTCTGTAACAAT